GGCTGAGAGAGAGAGGTGAGAGAGAGCGAGAGCAAGAGAGAATGAGAGACAAATTAAGATAATGCGAATAATAAATTTTGCTGGAGATATAGGAAAAGAGATATAATGATGAGAGCAAGATTAAGAAAAAAGTCACGAACAAGGTTATAGTTGTGTGAAGGAGAAGAGTGAGAGAGAGAGAAAGAGAGAGAGAAAGAGAGAGAGAAAGAGAGAGAAAGAGAGAGAGAGAGAGAGAGAGAAAAGAACGACAGAATTGAAAGGAGAGAGTAAGAGCTAGAAGTTACGAGAGGAACATGCTGAGACAAAAATTAAAATTGTGAGAAAAAGAAGGCAAAGGAGAGAGAGCGAATGAGAGAGCGATAGAACGACAGAAATGAAAGGAGAGAGTTGCTTAGCGTACCGTTACCTAATTGATAACTTAATCTAAATAGAGAATTAAATTAATTTAATTAATAATTAATTTATTTAAAGCTATATTAATATTAATAATATATATTAAAAAACTTATGGGTATTTATATACATATATTCCCGACAAATGTGGGGGTGTTTAAGTTAAGACCCGATCCAGCAGGTCTTGAGAGGAACATGCTGAGAGAGAAATATTGCAAGAGCGGAAAGTAGACTAAAAGCGACAGATACGAAAGCAAGTAGTTAAAGAGAGATAGAGAGAGAGAGAGATAGAGAAAGAGAAAAAGATTGAATGACAAAAGATTGAAAGTTGACAAACCTAAAAACGAAACAAATACATATGTATATATAATACATCTAATTAGAAAAACGTTGAAATCTTACTACAAATTCGAACTTAAACTAATTTTAATAAACTTAATTTAAAAAGTTTTTTTTATTTTTTATTTAAAACTAATTTTAATAAACTTAATTTAAAAAGGTTTTTTATTTTTTTATTTAGTTTATTAAGTCATAAATTAAAGTAATCAAAATCATTAATTAAATGAATTGCAATCAATTCAATTAAAATATAGTTTGAATTAAAAGCATTGTCATGCTGACCACAACGATCTATTTAATTTCGCCAGATAAATATATATACTTTGCCCCACTGTGCGCCTGCCTTGCGGCCACAACCTGAGAACGAGCATAAAATCGGAGTAGGCGGCACGTTTGCCATAGAGTTTGCCCTCTTATTGTGTGTGCGTTTTGTTTATGACGTCCATTTGGTTGGTGCAAGCAGCCGAGATTAGATTCCCTTCTGGCCAAGGTGGACATAGACAGACAAACAGACATACAGACATACAGACGTTCTGTGCATTGGTGCTGTGTCTTGTGTGCCGGCTACCTCAATGATTTGTCCATTTCCTGGCAGTCGCGTAAATGCGAACGACTCATTTTAGTGCCGGCAAAAAGACGTGCAGATTCGCCATTTGCAATTGCAGTCGAAAAGGAGTGGTGGAGTGGGCATGTGGGCGGGCCCATGTGGGCTATTCAAATGTTAAGCGGCCCATAAATTTGCCATAAGCCTAAGCTGCGCTTTAAATAGCCAGCGAGGCGACTGAAAGTATGCCGACATTTTGTGTTTACTCGCTTGAAATCAAAAACAAACCAAAAAAAAAAAGGTAAAATAAAAAATAGAAAAAAAATGGAAAAAAAAATCACAGTCAAATTTGCTTTGGCGCTGCTTTTTGCCCACTCAACGGAGACGGCTCATTGAAACGGGCGCCGAGTTTTTCAGCGTGTTTTATTTGCCCAACGTCCAAAAACCAAAGCAGCAGCTGAACGGCACGAAGTGCCACGAAACGGAGCCATGGGCGAGCCTGATAAATTGAATGGTCAGCTGCGTTAGCATAAAAAGCCCTATTCAGTTGCTCTGGCCTTTTATTTTTTTTTTCCTTTGGCAAAGGTGAAGGGGCCAGACACACATATGAGCGTCAGATCATGAGCGAGCCTAGTGGACATTGCGCTGACTGATTGCCCGCAAACAGGTGCTGCCAGGTGACGCACCAGCAGCTGCCTAAAACTGCCAGAGCCAATTGAGCGTAAAAACGAAAAAATAACGAACAAAATACGAGTGCTCTCTGCTCTTAATTAGCTATTTAATTAAGGTGTGGAAGCTGTGGTGTGGAATAATACTTAAATTTATATTATTTTTAGAAATATTAATTTCATGTAATTGAGGCAATAAACTACAAAAATATATTTAAGTTATTTGGATAAGCTAAAAACTTAATTTTTATTTTAAATTACATATTTGGAAAAATATATCCTTATTAGTTATAATTATTTATATATATGTATATTTACATATATATATGTATATTTACATATAAATATTTATTTATACTTTTTATTTTATTTCTTAGAAATTAAATTTTAATTTGTATATATTAAAAAAAAAAAAAAAAAAATATATATATATATATATATATATATATATATATATATATATATATATATATACCTTTTATTTATAATTATAAAATTAGGATTATTTTTATATTTACTTATTAATTATTTGGCTTATATAAGTAAAATATAAAATACTTATTTATTTATATACGATAGGGATGATATTTATTAATATTAACTCATATATTATTAAAAAGGGTTTTTTTTTTTTTAAATTTAGAGTTAACTTGTTTAACGTCTTTTTATTATATTCAGTGAACTTACAAAAATTTCGTATGAAAATTAATAAATATTCATATTAGCTATTGGCAAATAACTTTAATACTTTAGGCTTTATCAAACTAAATGGAAAATATTATGAATAAAGCGCCGTTTATTAAAGTGAGATATTATATCTACTATATTACAAGGTCTATTGTATATTCTTAATCTGTCTCAGAGTTTGTAAGGCACCACACATGTGTTCTTTATCTATTTCTATTGTACTATTTCCTAGCAGGAATGTTTGCATCTCTGTATGTTTGCATGTACATGTCTGAACATATACACTTAAAACTATTGCCAAATATCGCATCTAGCACTTTAACTGAAACTCATAACACGCAGCTGACATTTGCTGTCTTCACCTGCTTATCTAGCATTACGCAAATACTCAGACAAATCGCCTGGCAAAGCAGAAAGCTGATGGGGGGAAAAAAAATTACTCATTAAATTGCAAGCTCGACATTTGCGAAAAAAAACTTGTGAAGGATAAAAAGGAAAAAAAAAGATGTTGCAAATGCAGCAAGTGCTATGACAGGTGTAATAGAATAGAGGGAGAGGGAGAGAGAGAAAGAAAGTGCGGGAGACACCCTACTGCAGTGAGGTGCTCGGCGTATTACCCTTTACACCCGAAAAAACAGAGCGCCCATCTAGACGAAAAACGTGCTAAAACGTAAATCAACAGCGAAAATCGTGTTGAGCATTTTTCGCTATCCCCCTCCCCCCACAAAAAGGAAAACAGAAAAATAGAGCAGGGAAAACGAAGAAAAAGCATAAACAGTAGTTGCTACGAACTGAAGGGGGCTGGAGGGGGCAACCGGGAGAAGCTGGACTCGAAAGTTGAAAAGTGGCAAAAGTCCAGAGGGAATTGGAGATTGGACATGGCTTTTGGCGACGACCCTCAGCTAGTGGGCAGGAGCAGGGCGTGGCGCAAGGGTTTGCAGCTGCTCTAGCTGCCGACTCCTGTCTCCTGTCGCCTTCGCAACGTAATTCAATATGCAATGCCGTGCTAAAAGCTGTAAAAATGCTTAAGCGTTTTTCAATTTACCAGTTTTATTTTACGAACAGCTTTTCCAGCTAACACACCCACACACACACACACACACACACAAACAAACACACAGACATTGACCGGAATGAGATTTGCAGCTAACTCAAATTTCTTAAATGTTTTGTCGAACATTTGCAAGTGGCCGTTGGTTGGGGCAGAGAGCAGAAGTGGAAACTTCAGCAGTTTCGTAACGTGCATTGACATTCGACACGGCAGGTTGATGTCCTTAAAAACTGACTTGACTTGGACAAAAACTCCAGAGCCCACTAAGTTAGGTGTGGGCCATGGATGGAGCGCAGCGCCTAATTGCATTTTCGGTACTTCATAGATTTGCGAGATATTGCACGCTTAGCTTAAATGAATTTGATTTTAAATCATTCATTAATGTATTTAATTTATATTTAAATATAATCTATGTGTAAATATTGAAGAAGGTAAAGCAATTCATTAGTTTTGTGTAGCTGCCTTTCCTCGGTAGTACAAAACTCAAGCAATTTTGCAGCATTTACAGCTAGGGTATTCTAGTCTTATAAAGAGCTCAGATTTTCCAGGAACCACAAGGACAAAAAAAAAAATTCTTTTTTTATTTCAGTTTAATAAAGACTTGATTCATTATCAATTCTATAAAGTCTAGATATGAGGAATGCAAATATATGTATTCTGGAAGAAAACGATATACACTCTTCATATTTAAAATAAAATAATAGTTTTTAAAGTGATTATAAACTTCAAATTAATATATATCTATAGTACAAGGCAGAACCTTAAATTGATGTATATTTAAGTGCGATATTTACAGATATAGATACAATGAAATAAATAATGTTTTTTAATAAATCCATTTTACAATATCCTGTCGCAAATTGTAATTCATACAAGTCCCCAACCTCTGGCCACATAACAAAATATTTCCTGTAATATGAAACTTTTTGTTCCCGTCCTGGCTCTCACAGGACGAAAACTGCAAACGCTGCAATTTGCGACGAAAAACAATTAAACTTGAACTTTTGTCACCGAGAAAGAAACAAAAACTACAGAAAATAAAAAACAATAAAAACGCAGCACAAACTGAAAGAGCAGCGTGAAAATTGTCGTATCAGCAAAAATAAGGCGACAGCAGCAGAGTCCGTACAGAGTACAGGACAGGACACGGCAGGACGGAAAGTTTTTGCTCCTAGTTGGCGCTAATTAATTTTTATTTATTACGTATACGAACGGGCAGCCAGCGAATGCGGCTGGCTATTCAGCCAATGAAATTATTTGACCACATAACCAAAAAATATAATTAAATTTTCTAACAATCTTTCCTCCTTCCTTTGCAGGCAAACATGCTCGCGTGGACCCACAGCAAACGGCACTGGACGGTAATTAATATAACATATAAGCTGTATTTTATTTTATTTTATTTTATTGGCTCTCAGTGCGTATACGCAATGTGCGCTAGCGAGAATCTGCACAAGTGCAAGAAAGAAAATATTATTTGACATTTGTGAGGAAAATCGAATGTCAGACAAAGAAGCTTTGGAGTAACTGAGAGTCATTTTATTTGAACTTTCATAGATGCGGACATGCCCCGATTTGCGGAACCCATTGCCAATGTCACCGTCTCCATTGGCCGCGATGCACTGCTCGCCTGTGTCGTTGAGAATCTGAAGGGCTATAAAGTGGCCTGGGTGCGCGTCGATACCCAGACAATACTCTCCATACATCACAATGTGATATCACAAAATAATCGGATCAGTCTGACCTACAATGATCATCGATCGGTAAGCATTCGCAGAAGATATTTACATTTATTTTTTATTCCTTTTTTTTTAAGTATATAAATCTGTTCAGTAATTATTAAGGAGTTTTTGAAATATAATTTGAAGACAACTGATATTGAACATAATTCAAGAAAATAAAACTTCATTTCATCTAAAATTATTAAAATAAATTAAAATATATATAAATTTATTAAATTTAAGCTTGGAATTTTTATTGTTATTAATAAAAATTTAAATCTATTTAAAAATCATAAGCAATAAAAAACTTATAAAAAAAATAAAAAAAAACAACGACACACATTTACTCAATTTATAATTTTAAATTATTAAAAAAAAAAAAAAGTTAAGCGTAAGCATATTAAATCTTGTATTTTCAATCAATATTAAATTTTAATATTTAAAAAAAAATCTTTTTAAAAATAAAATATTTTATTATTTAAAAAAAAAAAATATTCAATCATATTTAAAATGTTACTTACAATTAAGTCATAATTTAATTAAGATTTTTTTAATATATCTCAAACTTTCCCTATATTAGTGGTATTTGCATATCAAGGAGGTGGAGGAAACAGATCGCGGCTGGTACATGTGCCAGGTGAATACTGTAAGTTCGTGAAGTCTGTCTTTAAAGAGAAAAGAAGTTGAATTGATTTGTGCTCGTTGTTCGTTGCAGGATCCGATGCGTTCGAGGAAGGGCTACCTGCAGGTGGTGGGTAAGTAGATTGGCAGAGCCATGCGCTGACAGCTGGACCGCAAGGCACATAACTGATTCTTTGTCGACGCAGTGCCACCCATGATAGTCGAGGGCATGACCAGCAATGACATGGTCGTCCGAGAGGGGCAGAATGTGTCGCTGATGTGCAAGGCGCGCGGCTATCCGGAGCCCTATGTCATGTGGCGACGGGAGGACGGCGAGGAAATGCTAATTGGCGGAGAGCACGGTGAGTAAACAGCCACGCATCTCACAATCACAATCACAATCCCTGCACGCAATTCATCTCCTCAATGCGCTCTCCCCCACACAGTCAATGTCGTCGATGGCGAGCTGCTGCACATCACCAAAGTGAGCCGACTCCATATGGCGGCCTATCTCTGCGTGGCATCCAACGGTGTTCCGCCATCGATTAGCAAGCGCGTCCATTTGCGAGTTCAATGTGAGTATTTCCATCGAACGAACTTTAGTATAAGCGCTTATATAGAGATCAATTAAATAATTACAGTTCAATTACAGAAATATGTATAGTTTAAAGTAATAAACATTTTGGCATAAAATTTCGTTAAACAAAATTTAGGTTAAAAGCTTTGCAGTTATTTAATAATTTATATATTCAATAATTGATTTATATATTTAGTTTACTTGTTTTTTTCATTTCTATTTTATTTTTATTAATTTATTTAAAGAGTTATTCAATTCATTCAATCTTAGTTGACATTTTTATTTGATTATATTTTTGCATATTTGATTTCATCTCTTATTTTATTTTATATTAAGTTTAATTGTTTTCTTCCCTTAAAACTTATATTTCTATTTATAAATGCATTTGAAAATGTATTTCTTTAGTCATTCAGATATATATTTATTTTTTTTTAGCTTTTTCTATAGTAATAATTAAAATATATATTTGCTTTTTATTAATCCACTTAATTTTATTTTCATAAATATTTATTATTATTATTTTTTTTTTTTTTATTTAATTGTAATTTTTCGTTATTACTTTAATTTAGTTTAGTCATTAAAAAAATTATTTATTTTATTTTATTATTATTCATTTATTTATTTACTATTTTTGATCATTAGTTTATTTACTTATATTATTTATTATTCTTGGTTCAGTCGTTTATCTTTCTTTTGTCCATTTGAAGACCAATTAATGCGAACAACTTTACCGTTAACGAATTGTGCAAAATACAATTCTTATATTCGGTTGGACGTGAGGTAACGCGTTAAATCCATTTGGGGGCTACAAATGTTATGCAACATTTATGTGACGTTGGGTCCATGCGCTGAGAGGCAGACGCGTTGTTAAATGCGTAAAATACACACACTCGCACACACACAAACAAAGCAATGCAGCCCTAACGCCCTACCCCTTCTCCTCTTTGTGCCGCTTGGCTGTTGCTGCCTCGGGGCAATAACCGCAGCGTGTCCTCAACATTGGCACACGAAAATTGGAGCCCAGCGCTGCCGACTGGCCGGACGGGGCAGCAGGCCGGGGGCAGGAGGCAGTGCTTCGAGGTGCACTCACTTGGCCGAAAAGCGACCAAAGCTGCAGTCACGTTAAATTAATTTACCTGTGCGTCTGTATGAGCGCATGTGTGTGTGTGCGTGTGCCTGTGCGTGTATTTGTTGTGTGTATGCGCTCATTTCGCCTTGTTTGTGGGCGTTTTGTTTGTTTGTTTGTCAGCAGGTGTTATTTTGTGCCCCAGCGCTGTGTACGTGGCGAAAATGCGTTGCCAATGCCATCAGAGTGCTTCTGTTGTTACTGCCACACACACACACACACACACACACACATACACCCATACATAGCTAGCGGCCATTGCAGCAACAAAAGCCATTTACACACACCCAGGCACAATCTCACGCTTAACAGGCGCACTTTTAATGACCGAATGCATTTTAATCCAAAAACAGTTTGCAAACTCACGTAAAATCCGTGCGAAAATTGCTTTTGCAAAATCTCTGATGGAAATTGAAAATTTGTTGATCAGCAAAAATATCGCTTATATACACAGCTATACTATTGCCAAAAGTCCATAAAAGTTTATAGATTCATATATGGGATCGGAATTTTATAATTTGCAATGAAGAAACGTGCAGAATATATAGTTAATAGCTGAAGCTTATTTATTTATCGGAATATTTTTAGATGTTTGGGTATTTTCCTTATTGATCATTAGTTGCTTTAGGAGAGAGCAATTAACCATTGACTAGCTTTTGCTGATGTCCTATTACTATTCAAAGAACTTTAGTTAATAAATTTACATCCGACTACAGTTCATTTATTTCCAATATTATATTCTATTATAGAGTTCACAGTTCACAGAGCACCTCAATAGTTTTGTACAGCTTACAAATTATTATTGGCTCAAATTTTGTAATAAAAGATGTTTTTATTGTGTTCATGAACATGCATGAACATAGAAATATGATAAGTATGCCCAACATGGAGTCCTACAAACCCAGAGATAAGATAATGATATGTAATAGGCCACACTCCCCAATAGATGCACTAGATTAAAGGGTTGACAATATGCATTAGTCTGGCCCATTTATTATTATTTTAACAAGTAAGAAAATTAAAATCTGACTCGGCTGACTGTATATTACTCAAAGAGTACCAAGTCACACTGGATGAACGAAATAATATATGGGTTTGTGGCGACGACTCGATAAATATGTTTTCCTCACACTCAAATCATTCTGAGCGCAACTGATTGCGTCGTTGCATAATGAGCTCGTTCGGCTGTTCGGCAATCGGCTGGCAATCGTTTTCAGTGGTTTTGTCTCGCTCTGCTTGTCTCCGATCGGTTGTTGCTGGCGTTAAATAAGTCAAAAAGTCTTTTGTATGCATGAGAGGCCATATCGACAGAGTTGAGTGTGTGCGTGTGTATGGTAATGAGAAGACCGTTTGCATTGAGTTATTGAGTCACACATGCCTTTGTATGATGCATATCGGATTCGATTGATCTCGCCAAGAGAGCCTACGGACAGTTATTTGAAGATATAGTGCTTATGGGCTTCGCTTTATTATTATTTTAAACATTTTCATACATATTGTATACATTATGGCTATATAAAATATATCAGAATTAATATAAAATGTAAAATATATATGCAATTTATGTATAATAGAATATATATTTCGAAAATTCATTTTAAATAATTTAAAAAAAAGTAACTGTGAACATAATTATTTATATATTTTTTTATATGTTTGTATTTACATTTAATGATTTAAATAAATATATTTTATAAATAAATATTCTTGCCCCTATCAACAGTTCAAATTCTAAAATACTTTTGCTCTCACATTTTTCAGTTCCGCCCATGCTGTCCATACCAAATCAGCTAGAAGGCGCCTATTTGGGCCAGGACGTTATGCTGGAGTGCCACACCGAGGCATATCCGGCCTCTATTAACTACTGGACGACGGAACGCGGCGACATGATAATATCAGGTAAATGTTGAATGCCAGCCAGTCTTTTAAGCTCTACTTATTGGTAACGTTGTGTGGTTGACTCTATATGTATATAATCTACAGAAGTGTGTATGTATGTAGGCATATGTGAAATAACTCCAATCTTGACCAAAAGCCTAGCGGGGGGCCTTTGCATTGTAGCCCGGTTTATTATGTGGACGAGCGTTTGTAAATGAGCTTACAATGTAATCAACATGCTGTGCGGCCAAGGCCAGAATATTGCGCCTGAAAATTGTCATGTAAAATGGCAAAAATTAAAACTCGCATCACGGCGTAAGCCCAAAAAATAAGTTAAGCCGCTGACGTTGCGACACACAGTCAGTGCCACTGCCACTGCCATTGCCAGAGGCAACTGCAACTGCAACTGCAACTGCAACTGAAATGAAAACAAATGAAAAGCCATTGGCAAACAATGACGTGGGCTGCTGCTCCTGCTGTGGCGATTTCTTTTTTGCATTACTCATACGCACTGAGTGACAGGCATTCGAAAAACATGCACAGCAACTGTTGAGCTGTAAATGTCACATTGTAGAGCTTTAAAAGTGATTGTCTGCATCGCTGCTATGCTTGACAGTCGACGGCGCCTGCAACTCTAAGAATCCAGCAAGCGCATTTAAAGGCGAAGTGGCCAAGTGCACCGCGGCCAAGCTGAAAAGCTGATTAAGTACTTAAATGTTCCTCCTTTTTGCATCTCATGGCAGTTGAGAGCTTCTGTACTTACCGGCTTTAACAAATATACAAATATACATATATCGACTTTTAATAATTTTTTAATAATTTTTGGTAATCTGATAAATAAATCTGAATAAAACCATTTGTCATATTTTCGTTTTTTCGAAATTACTAGGGAATCAGATTTTTTTCGATTTACACTGAATCACATTATCGGGATTCGACTGTATTTATAAATTTATTTATTTATTTTTTTTTTTATAATTTATAAATAAATTGAATTTTCTTCTTTTGTTTATCCGAAAATGAGATGCTTATATATTTAAAAAAAAAATTTATGAGTGCTGTGGATCACAATTCTGATTTAATGATCGAGCGTTGCAGAGTCGCCTATCATACAGGATTGAAGCCTTTGGGCAATTGCAACAAGTGTAAGAGAAATAGAGTGAGAGGTAGAGAGAGATACAGATAGAGAGAGATAGAGAGAGAAAGGGAGACATTCAGAGAGAGATAGATGCAAAAGTCTCGTAGTTGAGTTTCACCTGCCGCTCTATCAGCAGCTGCAGGTACGCTGCACTGAAGCTTAATTCGATTTTTATTTTAAATTTAACTTTCACATAATTTCTAATATCAATACTTATTAAAATAAATATTTAAGTTTCATTATTGACAGATCAACATCAATATATACATAGTTTAACTCAAGTCAAAAGTGTTTAAAATTATGCATTTAAACAATTTGTTATACATATATTTCAAAATGAAATATGTACGTATATAAATATTAATATATGCAAATGAACATTTAATTACTGTAAAAACGACCTCAGGCACACATTTAATTAATACAAACAATCTGAGCATAATTGGAACATAAGCAACGTGCATGCCTATAATCACACATACCTACACACTTAAAGTGAAAACATATGTATCAATCTGTCTCTGAATCTCATATTTTACTGATTACCATACTCGCAATTCGCTTTAATTGATAACTAATTGAATTGCAGCAAAGTTTCCTGCAAAACAATTGCTTTTAATTGATCATTGAGCTGTGTCAGAGTGTGTCGAGAAATGTAATATGGTATATAAGCAAGAACTGGAAATCGTATTTGGTAAATATTGTAGCGATAATAGGAAACGGAATTGAAATAAATATGAGAGCAGCTAAAAACAATATCATATGAGCCAAATATTCACACAGGCAGATAAACAGATGGACAGATGTTACAAATGTCACAAAATATTATGTTGCTGCGGAAATTATTTGAACATAATCACATTGGCAAATATACATATGCACACACACACACCCAGGCGAGGGCCAAAAGGATAAACTCAGCTCAGTTGTGTACCGTGAAAATAAATGAAAATTGAATAAAATTAACACAGGCTAAAATGCTGAAATCAATAAAACTAATATATAGAAAAATCATAGCATACTTTTCAGGGCACAATATTCATTTTTTTAAATTTTTTTTTTATTTTTTTATTTTTATATTATTTAAACAGGCTTTTTACTACCTAATTGGCAGCTTAACAAGTTGAACATACAATATTCATAGAACCCAAAAGAGCTAACATTCAGCAGTTTTTTTTTTTTTTTTTTTTTCTATTCTTCTTTTATGATTCTAAGCTGATGACTCAGCTCTTGCGAGTCATGAGCATAGAAATTATAATAGCAAGACTAACATGCCTATATCTTATTTTTATGCTTAAATGCTATTTGTTTGTTCGATATGCCACACACACCTACACACAAATATACATAAGTGACACGACATTCTGGTGTATGCGTGTGTGTGTATGTGTTGGGCAAATTATAGCCCAGGTTGTAGAGACATTTCATATGCACACACGCATAGGCAGCAAACAAAACGCGAGCTGCAGATATGAACATTTTCGGTGGCGTCGCGCATGATGCATGGCAAACAGACACCAAAAACTTTTTGGGTAATAAATTTTAAGCGATTCCGCAGTGAAACGCATGGAAACTAGTTTGGATGTGTGCGTGTGTGTGTGTGTGTGTGTGTGTGTGCCGCTGAAGTAGGGTGGCCAAAGAAACTAGGAAAAGAAAGTTATTTAAATGATGCAGAGCTAAGACATATTTGAATATACAAAAAAATTGCGAATATAGAAGATAAATTAAATTGTGCTTACATACGTATATAGCAAGAGAACGAGAGCGATATGAAGAGAGAAAGATATATATATTACATTATTATATGGCTGTCTAGGACTAGGCATTGATACATATGTATATAGCTAAGTTTAAGAAAAATAATTCTCAGAAGTTACCAGAGCTGTAATATAATACCTGAGATTAGGAAGGAAATATGACATCCTCTATCTGTCAATATTTTCAATTAAATATTTTATATTTTCAAATATAAATATTACATATATTTCAAAAATTTCTTTAGTTATAAATCATAAATTTTTTTAAGATTTTTGTATGCTCATATTTGTGCTTGTTTATTTAGACCAGCAAATATTTAATATTTAGAGATAAACTTACATTTCTAATTAAACATACAGATGCAGATATTAACTACAATTATTTATATAGCCAAAGCCAAATTATGTGCTATGTAAAATATAGAATTATTAGCCACATCATCATTTAATGGGTATGCGTATTCTCCCCTCCCCTCACATATTCACGCTCTCTCCGATATCTTCCAATACTGTCTCAATTCTAACCCAATTCTGCTCAAAAGGAGCCCAACAACTTGTCAAACTGCCCTCTCGGCAACTGTCGCTGGCATATGCCATTTGTCACAGACTTAGTCAGGGACAGGACAAGCAATTCTCTCACAGACTGCCGCGGATGCATGCCACAGTCAGCCCGACAAAAAAAAAAAAAAAAGAATATAAAAAAAAAAAAAAAAAAAAAACAATCAACTTGTGTTTTATGCCCCAATATCGAATGGCGGTGTATTAAAAGTATAAAGTTGCGCCGAATCGCATATGTCGAGGTCTCTGCTGCTGCTGCTGCCTTTGATTATGAGTTAAATTATATATTTGCGTGTCGGAGCGGCTTATAATACCGCACGAAAAGTATCTGAGAAACTGCGGCGTCACAAAAGGTGACTGACTATACAAAAAAAAAAAAAAAAAAAAAAAAAAAAAAAAACAATGAACAAGTAAGAAAGAGGAACATGCATGTGCCGCAACGCAAATTGTTTTTGCCAAAAGACATTTGTCACACACACACACACATGAGCTCACACACACTTTGAGGCACCACATGGCGTATGAGCAACATGCGATATCGCCTTACACTGCGCCAAACAATCAAACTGAAATTAAGTTTATATATTTAATGCTTCTACTTATGCCCAATATAGTATTTCTCTATATACCTGAGCCTAGGCTAGACCAGAAAATAAGAACATAAAAATAGGCAGTGAAATTAAAGCCAGCGCAGAAGAAGCAGAAAAAATAAACTTGGAAGAAGCAGGAAAAAAAAACGTAAAGAGCATTGAACAAAAGTTTTTCTTTTAGATTTTCACTGATTAATGAGAAAAGTTTTATTTAGTGCAGGGCAGAGGGAACACCCCTACTATTGAACTACGGCAGTTTTAATTACACATACACGCAGATGGCTAGAGTGAGTGGCAGGGAAAGAGAGGGAGGGAGAGAGAGCGAGTGAGGGACAAGCGAGGCGAGAAGCGCGTAATTAGTTTGAGTTGCCATTGAAAACACGCCCACATACACACAAACAAACAAACACACACATACAGAGAGAAACTAAGAAATGCAGGTGACATTAATTAATTGATTTATTTTGTCTTTGCTCTTAAAGTTTTGTGTTTGTTAAGCTAAACTTTAAAGCTGTAATTTTCTTTTTTTTTTGTATATTATATATATATATTTTTATATGTATTTTCATGTTGAATTTCATTCAAACTGTCGGTTTTTCTCGGTTTTTTTTTTTTGCAGACACTTCCCGGGCGGGCGATAAATACGAGACCACATCAACCGTCAGCGGTTATACGAAATATATGAAGTTAAAAATTCGCGCCGTTGGCCCGAACGATTTTGGCACCTATCGCTGCGTGGCAAAAAACTCGCTGGGCGAAACCGATGGCAACATTAAGCTCGACGGTGAGTGACACACGCACACATGCACATATATATATATAAATATATATATACAAATATATATTTCGCATATATATTTAACTGTTGTAATTTTTTTTTTCAACTTTCAACTATTTTTTTTAATTTACTGCAATTTATTTGCTGCATTTGTGCAGCAGCCATAAAAAATTACTTCGCATTTTTCATCAGTTTAAAGATTTTTCGCTCTTTATTTCAGGCTGTCAAAGAGTTGACATTATTTAAATACCATAAAGTATTGCTATAGTTTCGCATATTTTATAAAAGTTGTTAAATGAGCAGTTTATATTTTTAAAGAAATAAATTTTAATTTGTTATCCATGATTTATTTTTCACAATTATTTTAAAAAACAACTGAAATAAATAGTTTTTTGAAGGCAACATAAATTTATTTGTACATATTAAATATTTATTCTGAAAACTCAACTATTTTAGTAGTTTGAAATATAATTCATTGCAGTGCTTTAAGAGATAAAAAAAAAATTAAAATTAAAGATAAAAAAATAAATAAATAAAAAATAAAATAAATAAATTAGTAAAAAATTCATAAGTAAACAAATAAATAAAAACAATTATATTAAATTTATTATATTATTCATTATATTGTTATTGATTAATTTTGTGTATTGCGTAAAGTTTTTTTTTTTTTTTTTTTCTTTGTACATAAATTAATGTATTTAATATTTTATATATATTTTTATTTATATACTTAAAATGATATATATATATATATATATATATATATATATATATATTTTTATTTTTTTATTTTTATTTATTTATTTTTTTTCCATATATTCAATTTCGTATTAATATTTGTTTATTTGAACATATTTGTTAAAATAAATTTTAATTGTCTATATCCTCGGTATATCACATCTAAATCAATATTAAAATGTAAATTGTTTTCCAATTTTGATTACGTACCACAGAAATGCCCACGCCCACAACAGCAATAATATCCGAGATGGCCATGTTAAATCGAAGCTATGGTAAGTGCAGCCAAAGGTTTTGCTCTTCTTTTCTCAGTCTCGAAACAGTCAAAGGCTGTGCTAAATGTTTATTTAACAACTATCATAAGGCACCCATTCACCACTCACTCAACCTTCGTCTAAATTGATTTTGCATAATTTTCTATTTATCAACCTTGTGCACCGCAAATCATCAGCACTCAACGACTTCAAAAATAACTCAAATTTAGCTGCAATGAGAAAAGAAAATGTTTTATTGATTTCAGTAGAATTGTGTGTATAGAAGCTTTAAAGTAATTTTCTAACTAAATTCTCTTCCATCAAGAGTTGCAAAAATATTTCCAGTAAACTCTGGACAAAGTCCCTTAACTGACGTTCCACTCGTAACGTAAACCCTTTACCATGTTTCTCTCCCTCTCCCTCTCCATCTCGCTTATTCCCATTGGCTTGCATGCTATTTTCTGTGTCCATTTTTTTTTTCTTTTTTGCTTGTCTTACCATATTTACTTTTGTTTGTTTGCCATGTTTGCGCTCCTCTCTCGCAGACGTCTATTAAATGCAAATAAATGCAAAAATTAAATAAAAATACTTGGAATACTTTACGTCTATATATATTATACGTTTTTATATGGCTTTTTCTTTTGCTTTGCCCAACCTGTTCAGCTCGTTTGCTGACTATTGCTTTCATGTTGCCTGTAAAACAAAATCACGAAATTTTTCAACAACAACAAAATGATAATAAACAAAACTCCAACCGTCATTATTCATATACCTCGTGCCGTGCCAGAATCACGTCCAACTCTCACACTCTATCTCTCTCTTTCTCTCTTTGTCTCTCCCTCTCTCTCACTGTCTGTCTTGCTGATTCTTGCTGCATAAAATTATAAAAAAAAGATGGCAAGAGACGTCATAGAAATAAATTTGAGTCGGCTAACGCTTTGCCTGATTACGGGGTTGAGGAGTGGCGTGACGGTGCTCAAGGTAAGTACATGGCTACGAGTATGGCCCACACCTAGCTATCTATCTGTCTACCTACACACCCACCTGTGCTCTCACCTAAAGATACAAAAAGGAAAGCTCGGCTCTTTGTGCACGGCCAAGTTATGCAGCTGCAGCTGCCTTTTTGATAGCCATCGCTGCACTTTTTCATCATTTTCACACAGCTTTCCAGCCTCCGTATTCCTCTCCCTCTCTCTCTTTGGCATTTTCTTTGCATTCATTTTGTATATATTTATGTTTATGTATTTCAAGTGCGTCGTCGTTGGCTTTCCCCGTGTTGCCCGTGGCCATATTGCAAAACTTATAATAGCTCTTTTGGCTTTTTGTTTGAGCCATGGCCAAGTGTTTGGCGCCAACGTTAAAAATTAATTAAATTTCCTTGACGTTTGCACAATCACAGTTGTAGTTATTATTATTTTTATTTTTATTTGTATTTCTTTCCTTTATTTTCCATTTTCTATTTTCCATTTTCATTTCATGTTTAGCTGCAAATACTCTTACTGCACTTTATTGCCATTCGCCTTCTTGCAGCCAGGCGCTGCATCTCAGATTTATAAAGTGCCACAAGCATAAAGCGTACAACTAACAATCAGATGAAACTGAAGATGAAAACGAAGAAGAAGCAGCAGAGGCAGGAAATCAACAGTGAGCGAAAGTGGGTGTTGGCCCTCTCAAAGCAATAAGTTGTTGAAAGTTTTAGCCGTTTTATTGAATGACTGCAAAGAGCTGAACGATTTGTAGTTTTATTTGCCAACTGTACTGAGCAAATAAATTAGCTAGCCTGGTTAGAGCCGGCGAGCTTATTTGAGATGTTGTATGAAAATAGACTGAAACAAAAATTAAGAAATTGTCAAAGCTTGAAACAACATCAATACAAATTGTACTCAATAAATAAATTAAGAAGTTTTAAACATTTTATTTAAGGTAGTTTTTTTTTTTTTTTTTTTTACATTTCTTAAAAATAATGTATATAATAAGGAAATTGCGAAAATGATACAAATCTTCATAGTTTATAAGTATTTTGGACGGGTTACTAAATATTATGATTTGACAACACGTACAAATTAATTTTTAAATAAATCTTAAATATTTTCATTCGTATTAAACTCAAATTATTTATGAAAACTATAATTTTTTGCAATAACAGTCTGTATGCTTCTTTCCTATAATAGAAAAATTAAGTTTTGTTTGGTTTATGCTTTGTATACATTGCCTAAATGGCCTAAATTATGCATATAGTAGTAGGGCATAGCTTGAATATCATATCATAGCCTGAATATCATATTATATCGATAATTGAGACTTTATTTATATATATAATCGGAAATTGTTTAACTTACTTGGTTAAACTGACGGACTAGACACTTGAGGCAGAAAATAATTTCAATCTATACTTTATTAGAGCTGCCCTATACACATATGTTTCCTTAAGTGACCAGGGTATATATACTAAAACTGTCCTCCACTGATTTCGTTCTCAATACCTTAATTGATTGGCTGTTTATGGGTTTAAGCATTGCAAGCGACCGTTTAAAGAGGAAAAGCCACAAATCAATTTCGCGCTAATAACGCCTTTATTTCAATTAAAATGCGGGAAAAGTGCGTATTAATCTGATAGCAACAAAACACTGACAACAACAAAAAATTGCAACAACAACGCGAGCCAACAAAATGAATAAAATGTACGGAAGCGGCAATGGAATGCAGTTCGCATGTTGCACATCAAACTAGCCACAAAAGCTAACCAACAAATTAGGGTAGCGGAGAGGAACGGCTGGTGGGGTATATTCAAGGGAGCGGCTAGGAGGAGGTGGTTAGTAAACTAAGCCACAAAATACAGCCGCAGAACACAACCTAACAACAATTTATTTTGTATTTTATTCCATTTTCATTTCGAATGCACGCTAGACCTTAGCAGCGGGCCGTGAATGCTTCACACCGAAAATATACATACATACATACATATGTGTGTGTGCAAGAGAGGAGTATGATGTGTTTTTGGGTGAGAGCAAGCACTATGTGTGTGTGAGAGAGTCTCTTTGCTAAGCGTGCAAGAGAGCGTGGGAGAGCGAGTGTATGTGTGTGCATTTGTGATTGCCATGTATTAACATCGTGTGTTTGTGTGCTCGCTGCTCGTTTTACCGTTCAAATAAATCTGCTGCAATAAAAATGCCATCAATCGCATAGCCAAAATGCAACAACAACACTCAGAGGCGGGCAACAGCTTAAACGCTGATTGACACTGACATTGTGACGCTGTCAATACCAATATCCACGTCTATGCGGCCACAGGACACACATGTCCTGCCTTCGCTCCTTTTTCACTAAAAACGTGTGCATGTCACAAATTAGTTGCGGAAAAAAAGCAAGAACAAACAACAAAACGCAACGACAAATTAGCCATAAATAGCGAGTGGTTTTATTGCGGTTTAAGCAACAAATTTTAATCCTTGGCGCAGCAAACAACGACAGCAACAACAACAGCACCAACAAGCGCAACAATAACAACATGGCTGGCTGACCAAAAATATTTGCGAGCAAAAATGTTGATTGCATTTAAAATGCAATTATTTAAGGCATGCGTCCGTGAAATGCCGCTCAACCGACTGCACTAATGAACTGGATCCGAAGTGAGCGAACGGAACTGCCGGTATGAGAGTGAGAGAACGGGTGTGGGAGTGGGAGCGGGAGCATATCGCTTGTCTGGACAAAGGCTTTGTACAAATAGCAGACGAAGAGCTGGCAAACGCACTCGTGCATCGAAAGTCCCATAAAAAAGAATGGAGCAAGAGCAAGAAGTAAAATGGAAAGAATAACAGGAGCAAAAATAAGCAATTCGCTTCGAATGAACAGTCGATAAAAACACTTCAGTTTGTTTTCAAAAGAAACCCGATACGAACAATAATCCCATTAAGCTCAATGAAAACAAATATGATGTAGCAAGAAAATCGTATTCTTCTTATATTCAGAATTAAAATTATTTATTGCATATAATGTAGACAGGAAGGTGTGTCGACCCAGTCGTCCATCCCACACATAGATATTTATTTGAATTTCCTTAGAAGCATATATATTGTAATTAATAATATAAATGCATTACGTTAGCTTAAATATGTTTGTATATGCATGTACATATGTATATATTTCTGTACGCTGCATTGGTTTCTGCAAGTTCATAATACAGCTGTGGAATTAAAAGTAAACTAACGCGCGTAGCATAAGCTTTACTCATTCCGCCAAGAGAAGCGGCTGAGTTTTGATTATAAGAGAAGAGTCAATTAATCTCAGTGGAAAGATAAACAAAGAGCGTTGTTAATAGAATTTGCAAGAGTGCTTCTCTCACGCACACCTACAAATTCAGCTTGAGTGATATATGTATGTATGTAAACGGCATAGGCGAGCAAACAGACTTAGCAACAAGCGCCTAGAAGACGTATTGAGTGCTTCTCTTATAGTTGCTGAGAGGATCCACAACCTCACACACACCGACATGATGAGAGGCCACAAATTACAATTGAGGGATAGTAACTCAGGGAGTCTTTTAACAGTGTGGATTGCGACTGCAGACTTGCACGATCGAGTCTATTAGGGCTGAGTCGTTTAGCAGTGACTGACTGGAGCGCATCTCTTATAATTGCTGACAGGATCCACAGCCTAGCACACACAAACAGAATGTTATGCGTAGATGGTCGGCAGCAAATACCGTTTTAATTGAGTTCTTATTGTTACTTATTTGAGTACTCTCACTTCAGCTACTCAGTTGTCAACGAGCTTTTGCTTCGATCGGAGTTGTTGAAAGAAATAGGTGCATAGAGTGATTATTATAATATGTACATATACACATACGTATATTATATTATGTGCGTAAGTACAGCAATATTAAACTTGATTATTAATTTCTTAAAAATCTCAAGTTTTATCAAAATTATTTCTTACTCAAAAATAATTAAATAATAGAAATAATAATAAAATAAATAAAAAATTTGCTAGGTTTCTATATTCTTTCTTGAACACGCTGTAAGCAACAGTATAGTATGAAAGGTAAATAAAATAATATCATATTTGGCTCAATTACTTGCTACTGGACTAACACACATTAAAATTGAAAGACCTTTATTACAAAGCAACAGAACTTCCCGCAAAAGTCTTTAAATATTGATTTAAATCAGACCTCGAGTCGAGAAAATAAATATAAATTCATAAAAATAAATATTTTATTTAAGCTCCCATAAAAAGAAAGAAAAAAGCAAACAAACAGTGCCACAAAATGGCTTTTTGATTGATTTGCGATTGACAGCTTTGACGTAGAGCTTTCAGCCTTTTGTTTTGCCATCGCCGCCGCTTATAAATAAAACAAAAGGCACATACATAAATATATAAATAAATACATATATGGGACCTATGAGCTAAAGTTGAAAAATCAGAACAAAGATGCGTGGCATGAACGAAAAAAAAAAAAGAAAATGGGGAATATTTATTGCCCTGAATTGGCATCGAATGAAATATGCCATCAAAATTGTCTGAATGTCGGCTCTGACACCTTTTCAATGTGCTCTCAATCAAGCGTGAATACGGGCACCCATATGCACACACTTTCTCACACACACACTCACGCATGAATTTATGTCTTTGATATCAATCAAAGGCCAATGCGAATTTCCGACTCAATTTTGCTTCGAGCCTTAAACAAACAGCTCAAGGCTGAGTTAGGCGTACGAATTTCGTGTGTGTCTGTGTGGGTGTGTGTGTGGGTGAGAGTGTGGATAAATGGGCATGTGTGTGTGTGTTGTTGCTTTGTGTGTTTGTCTTTTCGCTTCTCTCGATGCTCTTGAAATTGCTTGAAGTTTGCCTTATTTGAAGTATTTGCGCTTTGTCGAACCTATCACTTTATATTTATGACTTTGACTATAGTCAAAATCAACAACAGCAACAACAACAACAACTGTCCTAAATGGCCATATAAGTAAGAGCAGAACAGCAAATGTAACAACAACAACAACAAACAGCCAAAAGGACCACAAAAAGCCAGCAGGAAAATCAACGCATTGCGCGCTTAAATACCACTTTGTTGTTATTTATGACGCCAGCTGATGAAAAGCCAAATGCCAAAAGATTAAAAGCTGATAAAATATATTTAATAGCCCTCATATGTATGTACTTTCGGCCAGCCAACACTATGAACTTTCCAAATATATGTATCTGAGTGGCTGGGCACAGTGGTATGCAGGCGATGGCATATACTTTGCAAAATAAGTAGGGAAAATTGAAATAACAAAATATGCAAAAAATTATTAAAAATATATAAGAAATGAAGAAATTTATTAATGACAATTATTCAATTTAAAAAAATACATATAATAATAAAACAAATTCTAAATAAATTAATTTTTATAATGTTTTCGTTTTATATTATATATATTTTGATATGAAAATGAATTGCAAAAATATTTGAAATTTAATCCAATATCAGCGGAAAACATTTTTTTAATTTCTAGCAAAATATTGTGCTGAAAAATCAAATTCCAAAGAAACAGTTATAATATAAATAGATAATATGATTACAAATAATTTTGATTATTTATTAATTAAAAATGCTTCAGATATAATTGCATTAGAGAACTCTTGGCTTCAATAATTTTGTACTTTTCAACACTCAGACTCAGACCACTGTGCCTGCAATACATCAAACATTGACATGCGGTCAACAAAGTGCGTTCAATGACGTGCATAAAAACCAAAGGCAGCTACAACAGCAACGGCAAGAAGGAATGTGAGAGAGGGAGAGGAGGGCTTAGGGCAGGGGAGTGCAGGTTGTGGGGAATAGCACTCAATCAAGCGTGGAGACAGGGGACACACGTTGTCCCAGCTTTGGGTACATTGACTGCTCGCCACATAAAGACGCACAGAAGCAGCCAGAACGGTAAAATATTGTCGAGTAATCGCTGTCGAAACGCTCGTCGAATGCATTGACGCTATAAAGACACACAATGACGTTGTAAAAAGACGAGGGGAGAAATAACAGTCAGATGGACAGGGCGACAGAGACAGACAGACGGAGAGACAGCGAGAGTGAAAAGTGGGTGGCCAGCGAAATACGTATAAAAATGTTGAGAGGAGTCCGCGTGGCAAGCAAAAGATGTCAACAAGCAGCAAGCCGGAATGGAAGCCATTCGGGTAGCGCTGGCTTAAGTGAGCTCCGTAAATAGAGCTGTTGACCAGAGAGAAAGGGGCGACTGCGCCAGTGAGAGAGACAGGGGGCAATAGGGGCTGCGTGGGGTCAGTCCTTTAGCAGTTGACCAGTTAATGTCTATAGAAAAGGTTTGGATTGTTTGTGTAATATTTTCAAATATTTTGAGTATAAATTTTTCAGTATGTTTGGCTTGCTCAGATTTAGAATTTTGTAATTAACACAAAAATGTTTAAGGGAGGCAAAAAAAAAATAAATAAAATAAAATAGATATATATATATGATATTTAGTTTTTATATACAATATTGAAATATATATATTTTAAAATGCATAAAATATATATTAAATTTAATGTTTAATGTTTACAAAATTATCTACAGAATTATTATAAACACAATTTGCTAAGATATAGATATATTAACTTCATATATATTTTTTTATAATTTTTAGCATTAAATACAAACTCTAAATGGAAAAATTCTGATAGGAAAACTCTCTCCACGTCCCTATAAATTTTTTGTAGTCTGCAAATTCCATAATTTTGATTACATGTGCTTAAGTTGCTCGCTTTGATTATAATTTGCTTGGTCTGCATTCGATTAATGAAATCCCAATGCTAATTTTGAGGGTTACGAGCCAATCGTGCCAATTTAGCTGTTGGCCAGACAAACAGCTATTGGCCCAAGCCGCAGAGTGCAAAATCAATAAATTAACAAGCAATGCCCATATTGCCTGCCAGCTAGGATGGGCCTGGGCCTGGGTAACTACTATTAAATGCATTCCACCATCAACGCACCACCCATAGCAATATTCTTCAACGTTCCCTCATCTGGCTGGCCCCCGTCCCGCCTCGCCTGGCTGAAACCATTTATCCAATGCCATTTTGGCTTTGGTAACGCGCAAAATAAATGAAAATATAAACCCGACTAACCAAAAACTGATTACTACAAGAGCTCAAGCACTCATGAAGCGCCCGCCTCCTGTTCACTTCCCCTGCCTCTCTCCCTCGCTGTGAGTCTCTCTAACGCTGTTTTCTTGTTCTTATTCGCAGGCAGCCATGGTGGCAACACTGGCGATAACAATCAAACGCCCGTGCGTAATCCGCCCGGAGCATTTCACAATTCTGCAGGCTCACTGGCACAGCATAATCTACTTGGTAAAATAATGCGCGGCATTAAAACGCAATCATTTGGGATTTTCAAACGTTTATCGAGTTATTTGCCAGCGGCGCTGCTGGCGTCGCTGCCAGCGTCGACAAGTCGATGGCGTATGAGTAATATGAAAAGCCAAGCCCACACTCAGCCACTGGAGACTGCTGTCGGCGTGCAGTCAAACATAAACAGAAGCAGCGGCAGCAGCAGCAGCAGCAGCAGCAGCAGCCACAGGACCATCCACAGTAACACCATCAACACCAACAGCAACAACAACCAGACTAGCAATAGCAATCGATGGGCGTGGCAGCGAGAGTCGCGCATATTTCACATAGCTCATACGCCGCGTGTGACGCAATGCGATTGGCCAACGCTCATTTGCATAGTAATATTGGCAGCGGGCGTTGTTGTTGCCACGGATGTTATGCCCAAGTTGTTGTTGCTGTTGCTGTTGTTGTTGTCTCCATTGTTGCTGTTGCTGCATTTTATCGGCAGCCGGATCGCATTTTCTATTAGTGCGGCGCATAGGCAACATTTAATGCTAACATTTTCGGCTGTTGGTAATAAGGTTGCCGCATTGTTGCCGCAAATTTATACAACAACAGCAGCAGCAGCAGCAGCAGCGGCAGCAGCAGCAGGGGCAGGAGCAGGAGCAGGAGCAAGAGCAGGAGTCGCGGCAGTAGCAACCCAGCCAAACACATTTAGTTTGCTTTGCCAGCCCTGGCATTCAAGATGAAATCAAATAATTGCAAAAAACTCATTTAGGGCACAACAACATGACGGAGATGATGAAGAAGTGGAGAAAGAAGAAGCTGTAGAAGTAGAAGAAGCAGCAGAACAAACAGCACGCCAAGAGCGTGCAAAATAGAATCAAACTTAGACAAGTAAGTAAAAAGTATAAAAAACAGCATAAATGTTGTGCAAAATATGTAAGCAGCACAAGAAACTCAAATGGCATACTCATATAAACATATATAGATATATATATGAACTGTATAGCAATAATCGTAAAATGTTTCTCATGCTAAATGGCAACAGCAATTGGCGTGGCTCTTACATACATTGATTTTTTAATTGCCAATCAGCAGCAGTTGAAGCAGCAGTTGTCTATTTCCTTTCTCAATGTCTAAACGGATTTTCTAATGCAATTAATTAAGCATTTACAGTAATTCATTGAAATGTCAATCAATGCTGAAATGACTGCCATTCATTCCCATTCAACTTGCATTTAAACGTCTTTCACAAATCAAAGTAGATAAGAAATTGCCAATAAAACCTAAGCAAACCTCAGACTTAATGAAAGAGTTGGCTTTATTGTATTTATAAAAATATTAATTCCTTATATTCTTATCATTTTATTAAAAGGGAAAATAAAAGGGAACCCCACATTGAAGAGATTGAGATTTAAGAGTGTTTATCATTTTTAGCTTGATTTGTTTATACTGGCTTGAATGGCCTGATCGCACCCATGGGTCACTTGGAGATATGCTGAATGCTGGGTTCCCACAAAAACGGTGTAATGTGATCTTTTGTTTATGGGGCTCTGATTCTTTGGTATATTTTGACAAGTTTTGCATTGTTTAAAAAATGGCCGGATGTTTTTGTCGGCAAGCTTGAGTTTAGGGTGAGGTTCTGAAGATGCTTGGCTAAGCTCGAATTTGAGGTTTTATGAGGTGGACTTTGAGCTATATATGTATTATTGAAATGTTGAAAATATTGAATATTGAGTTAATTGTTATTCAGACTTTTTTAAATAAAGAGACTTTTTTTTATCGACCCTAATGATAAAATATTAAAATATTGACTATTGTTTGTATATATTTAATATATTCTAGAGATATGCTAATGTTATTATTTGATTATTGAAAAAAAAATAAAATAAATAAATAAAAATGCTTAACAGTTTCTGATGCATTTATATAGAATATATTGATATTTACATAAGTAACTTCCCCATCTTTTGAAATGTCCCCCATTCTGAGGTGCATAATTGAGGGTATTATGTGGAATGTGTTTCTATCAGAATATTTTCATTTCCCTGGGTTTATTATTTTTGGGTTTGCAGTTGTATTAGGGATCGATTCCTTTTGTTTATTTAAATTTATCATTTTTTTTGTGGCATTTTTTTGTACGTAAAATGCTTTTATTATTTGAGAGGTGCTCTATGCTATGATATTTTCTCTTTTTTGGTTACAATATTGCTTATGTTGGTATTGATGCTTATTTATGATTGTGCGATGGAATTATGTGCTAAAATTTAAATTGGGGACTATAAGCAAAGTAAGTCAATACATATTGAGCTAAATAACTTTTGCTTTTTATTTAATATTTGTGTTTTATATTAAAAAGCATAAAAAGCACTAAAAATGCTTTTCTTTGTATGAGAATAAATTAAAAAAAAAATATATATATATATATATATATTTTAAAAAATTGTTTTTATAAATATATTTTGGATGTTTACATTTTATTTATTTTTTTTAAATTATATTTTATACAACTTTCTAGTTTCAAAATTATACAGAATAAAAACATTAAAAAAAAAAATAATAGATTTATTCATTCACCACAATTCAATTTGTAAACCCTAATTTAATACAGAACTTGACATAGTTTTGTCAAATGGTGTGCTCCAACATGGGGACATCATAATTATTCAGCCATTCAACTTTACAATTATAATTTGCGTTTGCCATGCGAGTGCAAAATAATTCAAAGCAAAATTCAATAAAACTAATGATATATGTATGTATGTATGTATTTTCATATGAATGCGCTGCGAACTGCCAAAAGCCAATTGCTGTTGAAATATTTACAAAATTAAAAGCGAAAATGTTTGTTTGCAATTATATTCGAAATCAGTGCAAAATATGCGCGCAATGGAAATGTTTCTACACAAATAAATGGATGAAATATGCATAGGGTCAATAAACAAAAAGCGAATCTTAAATGAGGGACCCGAAGAGGCGGCTCAGCATGTAAAATGCAAAAACACAACAAAAGCTTTGCCCCATTAAATGAGCATAAATTAATTATATTAAACAATATGAATTCAAAGCGAAATATGTGGAACTAAAAAAAAAAGCACTGTTAATCAAATTTGCATTTAGGTGAGCGTATTTGCAAACACAAACAATACACACATACACACAGATAGCGAATTTACATAGTAAATTTAGCGTCAAAACAAAAAAAAAAAAAAAAAAAAAAAAAAAAAAAAATAAAAGTATAAATAAATAAATAATAAATATATATAGAAAAAATATATGTTAAAATATGACAGATATTAGCTAGTGATATATATACATTTATATATATATATATATATATATATATATATACTAAAAATTTATTTATTGAAATTATTTGTTTGATTAATTCAGATTTTATTGCATTGTCTTTATGCATTACATTCCAAGTTGATTTGTGCTGTAAATATTAAATTAAAAAAAAAAAAAAAAAAAAAAAAAACTAAGCATTACTTCCACTGAAATCTGTCGTAAAGTTGCGCTGTAAATAATTAAATTGAAAAAAAAAAGATATATAAATATATAAATATATATATATATACATGTTTCAATTAAAGAATTTGAAAAAGAAAATAAAAATTGTGCTTTGCTTTAAAAATGTTGTAAATATAATTAAATATTAAATTATGGCAGATAAAATGTTGAAATGTTGAAATGAATTAAAATTACATAAATATATATATGAACTATTTAAAGCTAATTAAGTAGAACCTTAATTCCAATCAGCATTTATACACATGGAAAATAAAAGAAAATAATAACTAAAAAATTGCTGTTGATGAAAAATCGATGTATATGAATTTATAATTAAGGCGTACGTAAAAAGCATAAAGAAGCTCAGATATGTTATGCAAATGTATGTCTAGCTTACACATACATCTAACTATATATATATATATAAACTAAGTACATACATACACATACATATAGCTAGTTATCATGATTTCATAAGCATATTCATTATGTGAATATATAAGTTGTGGCATATCTATGTAACATAAATTTATATGTAAATGTATGCAGAAAGTTTACAATAAAAATAAAAGTGACAACAATTTGTGTGAAACTAATACTCAAGTTTTATGTCTACTAGAAACTTTGTGTATGTAACTGCAGCCTAAAACACCCATACACACACACACTCTCTCTCTCTCTCTCAAGGACACACACAGAGGGAGTCATCTGAAGAGAAGCACGTGCGCGAATGTATATGTATATGTACATATACATATATATAAACCGAGCAACCAGCCGACCAGAAAGCAATTGTGCAATTTGCCAGAAGAAACGACAGGCAACAATAGCAACAAAATAGAAAAGGTAATACAGTGAACGACTTGCACATATCTACCGTTTTTTGTTTGCGCAAGGATATGGATAAGGTTCTATAATGTTAGATATGGTACACGGTACTTAAATATAATATAAATTGATTTAAATACTTATATTATTCATAAATATTGTTTTTATATAACTTCAATTATCATTAAGAATTCATCTATAGCTTAAACAAAACACCAGGTCTAGCTATAAAATAGTTATTCTCTTACACTGTTTTATAATTCCATTTATAGCTCTTCAAGGAACTATCACAGAGCATAAGAGGTTGGTAAAAATATATTAAACCAGTTGAAATAAAGTATGTTTCAATTTTATATATATTTATCTTACTTTAGACTAAGGGTCGTCTAAAGCCGAGAGCGGCATTTAAAAAAGGTTTGCTATAAAATATAATATATATATATATATATATATATATATATATCATTTACCTTCATTAACAAACATTTCCCGTTTCCATTTACAGGGTATTTGGAAAACAAAGCGCTGCAGCCGAGCACATAATTGTTGGCACAAACCGCACAAATTACCAAAAAACCCAACACACACATACACATTAATATTACACACCCACACACATGAGCACTACAGCTGGCAATAAGAGCTCGTCGTCTTTATTTAAAATCGGGCCAAAAGATGTTGGCCCAACTGGCATTCGTTTGTTAAATATTTTGCACTTTTTGCGGGCAACGCTCAGTGGAAATTGTTGCGTCTGCCATTGAAAGGTTGTCGTGTGGAAGTGAGCAGATTTTCCAAGCAATTAGTGGCTGGAAAAGCGCATGCCAAAGGGACAACAAGGTCCAACGACTGGGTTAACTGGGCGACACATAAGAAGCCAGCATTTACATATGCTAAATGTGCACAAGTGTGTGTGTGTGTGCATGTACAGTCTGTGCGAAAAGTGGGCAAACAACTTGGCCTTGGAACAAAGACGAGAAATTAAAGTAGCATTGGTTATATTTGGTTTGTAAATTCATTTATGTTAAAATATGTCAAATTTTATGTATGCTCATTACAAAATATTATTATGTGTTTTTCCAAATAGATAATCCTTAACCTAATTAACCTTCGAATATTAAGCCTCACTATATTTAGTATTTCAGAAACATGAGTTAGGAGCATAGCTGCGGTAAGTCATATAATATATATGATAAGATTTTCAAAGCTAATATCCTTTAATCTCTTATATTTCATAGGGATCTGTACATAAAGATGCCAGAGCTTTGTGGCCACAGACAAAAATCCGCAATTCTGATTGCAAGCGGAAGCTAATGTTTATCAAACTATCAAACATCAAACATCTCCCGAAAATATTAGACTAAGCCTTATAAATCATGAGCGTTTAAAAAATATATATGTATTTATATACAATAAAATTGATTCCATTTAAAAAAAATTCTAATCGCTGTACTTTTTTACTTTTCGGAAATCAGAATGATATAGATTCTAATTTGAATATAGTAAGAATATGCAAGGTATATAAATATTTATCAAAAATAAGAAGGAAGTCAAGAAATACATTTTCAACTGAATTTTTTATTCTTAGATAAAAAAATATATAAATTTTGTTGCATACTTTCTAAGGAGGACTGCCGCGGCTGCAATTTAGACGAAAATCTGGCTGAAATACCAGGCGTAAAGAAATGACTAACAGGGAGAAAAATGTAAATCAAGATCCCACTGTTAACTAACAGAGTGGAACATATTTTCGCTGTAAATTAGCAGAGCATGCTGATAAGGCCAAGAAGGAGATCTACGTGCAAATCTGGCTGAAGTACCAGGCGAGGAGAATTAGCAGCATGCAAAATGTTAAATAACAGAGTGGAACGTAAATTCGCTGCTAATGAGAAGAGAATTTTGGTTGAGTGATTTTAATTATGAAACTCAAGAGCATCTTCAGCTGCTAGACTGCAGTACCTGCTTTAACATAGCTGTTAGTTCAACTGCGGGTCTTTCTGTTAATTTCCTGTGCTTATGTACATACACTGGATGTTGAACTCAAAATATAACCACATTGAGAGCAGCGGCAGGTGACTGGAGGCTATTAAATCAAAGAGCAATCATATATTTTGAACTATATTACATATTATGGTCCTGAAATCCTATAATCAAGCATAATCAAGCATATGTGGGTCAACTGGGAACGATTACAGCTTGCATTCATACAATGATTGCACATTGGCAAAGGCTTAAATTATTTATAAACAAAATTGCAAATTAATAGTAACTAGCATTAAATGAGAGATAGAACATATAGTTTATATATTTATATTTGGGACCGGTTTGCCGTCCATGTTCATGTGGCATTTCTAAAAATAAATAAATCAAACTATAAAATATTTAAACAAATGATTTTAGCTATTTACTTTTTCAAAATCAGACGAAACTAATATCCGTTTGAAATTGAAGTTGACTCATATTCAGGTGCTCGCAATCAAATAACTGTTTATTCACCTGTAAGAGATATCATACTCGACAAAGCAGGCAGGCTCTTTAATGGCAAAAAGCGAAAGCTGTCTAAGCCCGTTGCACCGCGAATGGCATTTGGCTGCATTTATGGCAGCACCTTTGTCTCGCACATCCTTTTCGGTTGCGTGTATGCGAGTGGAAAATTCAATTTGCAAAGTGCATAAAAGTGAGAGACGACAGCGTGGCCGATGAGCGAGGATGCGACGTGTGAGATTTTTAGCTCGACGCGTTGCTTGTTTGTTGTTGTTAAACAAAAGCGTCAGCTACTCTAACCCAGTTAGCTGCACATCCCCATACACACATATACATATACATATGTGTGTATACATATATGTATATAAATATATTATATACACACATAAGACAGACACAACCAGATGCAGACGCTGAGCCACACTCTACAGCTGCTGCAGCATCGACATAGACGCATGCAACAAACAAGTGGCATAAACGTAAACGTAAACGCAGCGCCCGAGTGGCGCAAACAATGTAATTAAATCTACGTCAACATAAGCGACGAATACGAATGCGAATGCGAATGGAGCTGGGAGCAATGGAAAGCAACGCAAAGAAGAGGCATGAGAAGAGCGTGCTGAGGATGAATGTTTGAGAGTGAGAGTGTGTGTGTGCTTGAGCGAATGCACAGCGAATATACATATGCACATATGCATGTGCGCATGTAGGTATGATACCATTGTGTAAATGTGTGCATGTGTGTAAGCTTAAATACCCTGGTATTTGAATGTTCGTATCAGCTCGCTCAGTGGAGAAAATGAAATCAAAAAATGAAAACATACTATGAAAACTAATAATAATGAACAAATTATAAAATAATATATAAAATATGTAAAATAATATAATATGAACAAATATAAATGAAAAATACAAAATAATTACTTAAATCTTATATATGAATATAAAAAAATACAAAATATAATGAAAAACAAAAAGTAAATATGAAATACGAAAAATAAAATGTAAAACAAACAACATAAATTTAGAAAATAAATCAATTATTACTTATGAAAAATAAAATAAATTAAATTAAAACATAAAAAAAAGAACAATAAGTACAAATGAATTGAATGTAAATGTAAATGTAAATATAAAAAATATAAAAATATTTAATAAAAAAGAAATAGTGAATAATAACTATTAAAATAAAAAAATTTATATATTTAAAAAAATATATATATATGTAGTAAATAAAAAAAAAAGTCAATTTGATAAAATATTTATTCAAGCTCTATCGCCACTCCATATTTCAAGTATTAAATACTTCAAAATACGAGTCATTCAATATATAGGGCATTGCCTAGTCGTGTCGCTCGCTATTCCGACTAATTGCTAGTGCTGTTAGCTGTTGACTTTTGAGCCAGAGCTCTGCACAGCTTGGCCAGAAAAGTGACACAGACGTTGTCAGTGCGTTGTGTGTATGTGTATGTGTATGTGTGCGTGTGCGTGTTAGCCTTATGACTAGCTTTGTTTAGCCGCCAAGGTAAGCGAAAGATTCTATACTGCCAATGCTGCTGTTGCTATTGTTGTCGTTGTCGTTGTTGTTGTTGTTGTTGTTGTTGCTGTGCATTTAGCTGGCTTTAAAAGTGAAAGATATGAGTAAGGCATCCATTTCAATTGAGGACTCTGAGTTGATCTCCGATCTGTGCTTTGTGAATGTCCTTTTTGCAGCTCTCACGTTCAGTTAATCCAATTTGTTAGCTCACTTTCACTTTCAATTACAATTACATTCCGAGAGACAAGAGTTCCGTTTGTGCCCTGTCACTGCATCAGATTTCTTTTATACTTCATGTGTTTGTGTTGCCCTCTCATTGTTGCTGTAGTGGCTGTTGCTGCAGTTGACACTTTTCAATTGTTTTCTTTTTTGATAAGAGTAACTGGAAAGTTAAATTGAATTTAGCATAGTCAGCAAACAAATGAAAAACAATTAACTTACAGTTGGCAACGAGTAGTTGGCGATTATTTAAAGCTTCCACTTGAGTATCCTCTTGAAATCCACCACAAGTCCTTAAAGTAAATGCAATAAGTTCGAGATGTATTTCAATTTGATGTGCCTTAATGTAAATAATCATTGACGTAAATGAGTTAATTTTAGCAGAAAACATTGCTAGTGCATGCCTGGATGACAGGTAAAATTGGTTTTTGGCCCTGAAGGAATTTTGTTTGTTTGACTTGACTTTCTGGGCTATAAATGGCCTTTACACGAATAGCTGCAGCAATTAAAACGTGGCCGAAAGGCATAAATTACGCATACGCCCCATTGCGTTCGTGCATTGTGCATTGTGCCATAAAAAAGGCAGACGCATAACAATTCTGAGAGCTCTACTTGAACAAAATCTGAGCCAGCTGACCCAATTTGTATCCATTAGACAGGCGATAAATATGGTTAGGAAAGACTCTGCTTAAGTTGGCCAGAAATCGATAGGCAGCTCTCCTCCTTATGTAACTTATGGCCGGACTGTCAAGTGTTTGCCCAGCCAAAGGAGAAGGGTTGCGCATCCATGTGGCATATTAAGTTGCAGCCTGGCTTTGATGAAGGTCAAAAGCGGCCGGCAATTAGATGGCCAAGTAATATGATGCCAGAGCCGGATAGCTCCACTTACAGCTAATAGCTCCATCCTGGATGGATGGATGGCTGGGCAGGACGATAGGATGTACCAATAGGGCAATAACTTAGTGCGTGTTGACGCTGATATCCTTTTGCCTAGCCACTTATCATAACGCTTATGCGTTGATGGCTATCCACACTAAGTTCCGCACGCACACGCTGCTCCTCCTGCTGCCGTCGTTCCTCCTACTCCTTCTCCTGCTGCTGCTTATGCTCCTCCTGCAATTATGCTAAAAGCGTTAAATTTATAGTTTTCCCATACTCGAACAGCAACTGCCATGAACATGGCTTCTCATGTCTGCGTCTAAATAAATGGCTTTTAAAGCACGCGTTAATGATGTTGATTGTAGTCCTGGGAGCAGCGACAACAACACCAACACCAGCACGAACCTGGACCCAAACCCAAGCACAGTTGTTGCCCACCTTTTCATGTTTAATGTTTTTTGACTAATGCTTTATAGCTGGAACGCGTCTGCCCCGCTTCGCCTACCTCTAGCTCCGATGTCTGGTTTATTTTTATGATGATATATGGTCAGCGCTTTCAGAATTCACATTGGCCACTCGCCTGGGCTTGTTGCAAAGGATTTAAGGCCATATTTATTATGGCGGCCTGTTACCTGTTTATGATCGTGCAGAGCTTAACAGGGGCTATAGCTGCAGCGAGCATTTCCATTGTATATATACATACATGCTTTTAGGCGATAATATTATATTTTAAAATAATAAAAAATATAAATAATAAATATAAGTATATAGTAATTTTTTAAATTATTATTTTTAAATTTATTTCATACCTGAAAGCTTTGAAGTAAATAGCCTCAAATATACATATATCGATGAATATTTTAAGTTCCATCAATAAAAAAATAAAAAAATATTCATAAAATTAATAAAATCTAATAAAATGTGTATTTTTTACATAAACGCCTTCTAACCATTATATATAATTTATGCATGTAATTTGACTAACATGAGGATAATTGCCTGGCTTACAATACTTAATTAGACATTTATTTATTTTCTACTGCACGATATGTAATATTTTATGAGAATGAGAATGTAAAACGAAAGCAGATAAGAAAACTTGTGCAAACAGATGTATGTGTGTATATATTTATGCAGATATTAATGTATGTATACATATGTATTCATATACCACAAAGCGGCTCTCATATTTACAATTTGCACTCAATTCACAAGCGACTTACACTCTCTTTAAAATATACTCTGTTATTATTATGTTACTCTCGTTCGTACAATCTGTTAATCTGCTGTTGACATTATTGGAAATACAAACATTTTATTATTCAATTAGACTTTTATGTTATTTTAAATATTAATATAATTATAATCATGGAATTGCTGTATAATTAAACATAATTACCTTAGCCTTAACTTATATCGACGTTTCGCGCAGAGCTAAATGCAGCTGTCGAAATTCGCTTCACTACAATATTAACTCAAGAGACACTCTTCAAATATCCCACGAAAGCTGCTCTGCACACAGTTACTTCATTGATCCGTTAGGAAGCGATAATGAGAGACGGCGTGTATGTGTGTGAAATCACAATTGAGTAATACTGAGTTTTGAGGCAATTGCTTTCTACGCAGCTCTAATCTACTGAGCCACGCTTTATGCTTTCTGTGCGCCCGTTGTGGATTTTGAATAAAACTAAATTTTAACGCAGAGTGCACTCACATGTGTATTTACATATAAGGTTTACAGAAATAACATTTTCTTTATACACTCCTCAAGAATACATACATACATTTACATATCTGTTTAATGCATGCGCATACACTTTTACCTCTTGTTATTTTTGCCATCTCATACAATATACACACACGTCCATATTTTTAAATCTTTAAATCTAAATAGATACATACATATAATTATGCCTGAGACGTACATTTAATTTATGTTTCTTCAATAAACAACAGCAGGAAAAACAATATGTACTCACCTAGAATAGATCCCACACTCTCATTATATTCGCTACTCAAAGGGCGTGCGGTGATTGGGCAAATATGTGTGCTTGTGTGAGTGCACATGTGGATTCTCTCGCGAACGATTTCAAAAGCACTCAGATCAGTATTTGCTAAGGAACTGTGCATATGTTCATGTGTGTGTGTGAGCTGTGGATCCTCTCAGCTACTATTAAGCCGCGCTCAGCTGAGTCTGCATAATGTGGAACGCGTCGTGATGGCTTTCGCCTTCTCTATGCTCATATGTGTATTGCATATTGAGTGTAAACTGAAATATTGATGATGAACTCAAGCTCAGAAGCTCACCAAATTTGTTCTTGTTCTGCAAATATGTAAATGAGTGAAAGACGTAAAAGGCCGACTCTTTGAGTAATTGCTCTGGAAGTTGCAAGACCTTTTAAATTAATAAATGATATACAAATAAATATTTATTGTACTATAGTACTATTTTCATGAATTCAGCTAAAATTAAAATTGAAAACCTCGTGCCCGACTTGGAAATACCCTTAATGTAGCTGTAAGCGCCTGTCGTTTCAATTGTCTGATTGCATTAACTAACAATAAGTTTATTTCGCAGCCCATAGAGATGAAACTTTCTGTACACAATTTAGTATATCACTGAAACTGCACGGAAACTCACGTAATAAACCAAAAGTTCTCAGCAGACACACAGACACACATATATGTGCTGTTGGCGGCAGTAATGAACCCAACAAAGGCAACAAGATGTGCTTAGTATGCAACTTTTTGCACCAACGCCCCAAATAACATTAGCGAAAATCACTTAAATGGGTGTAATTTGTTTGGTGCATGGGGCGTATGCGTTACCTGCTGCAGACTCACAGCAGCAGCAGCAGTAGCAGTAGCAACAGCAGCTTATGGAAGCTCAACCAGCTGCAGCACAGACCAAACAACGAAAACAGACTAAATACAACAAATTTGTGCTATTTGGGCGTAAAACAAAACACATTTAAAATGTCTAAAGTGCAGCCAAAGTGGAACCAGCGAAACCTTTGGCAGCACTCACACCACCAACCAACCAACAACAACAACAAGAACCTCAAAAAAAGTCAATTCGGCGAAAAAACTCATCACTCAAGCGCAGCGCAGCGCTGGGCATGGTGTAAGTGCAACGCCCACAAGGTCCAACAAGAGCGCCAGCTGTAGTTGAAGCAACAGCAGATCCCTTCAAACAATAAGCCAGTTTTTTAACACACACTCTTGCACACACACACATAAACAAACACGCAGTATAAACAAATCTCGTTGCGGCGCTGGCCCCAAATAGCCAGCAAAATGGTTTAAAACTCAATTAAAGTTTTAGCCGCAAAATAAATGCAAAAACAGCGGCAGCGGCAGCAGCGTCAACAACAGCTATGGAAACAATGATATGGCCTTCCAAACAAAAAAAAAAAAAAAAAAAAAAAAAAAAGGTAGAAATTTGCAAATTTGAAATCGAATAATAAAGAGATTTATATGCCCTTCGCGCAAGTATTTAATGGCAAAGCAGATGAAGATAAGAGATAAATTATCGGACAACTCTTGAAGGCTACGTTGCCGCAGAGCAACCTGAACCTTTTGGTTCAGTTTAGAAATATATGTTATAGAAGAAAGCCTTAATTCTTACGTTAGTTTTATTTTATATTAATTATAATCTATAAAAAATTATTGTTATAATGTTAATATATAAATAAGTATATCAAATTATTGCCTGATATTAAAAACAGTGTTGCAAAACGTTTGTTTCTATCACAGCCCTTGTTTACATTTGTATCAACGTAAAAAATGCTATAATATATATTAATATTCAAGCTGATAAGAACAATTTATACTCTTTGGTATAAGACATAAAAAGTTGATATTTATATGTAATAGATATAATGTATCAACTTTTATAGATAACAGTGTTGTAAAACACTCTCTAACTACTTATATCTTATACTTACCTATATTTACTTATTGTTCGTTAGCTCTTTATACATAGTTGTTATTTATATGTAGAATATATATCTACTTTTACGCATAACAGTGTTGTATATCAAATATTTACCTATATTTCCTTATAGTACAATTACTACGTTCATTTCCCACACTCGATAGTTTCCAGCCGGGAGGTCTCCCAATGTTTAAGTAGTTATTTTACTCTAATATGCACTTAAAACTAATTTTATGCACCTTTTGTATACCCACACCTAATTGAAAATTGTAAAGCAGGTGCATAAGTACGGGCACAGGTGCTCCGTTGAAATTTCTCATACTCGTTGTTTTCGGCATTCGCCACGCCCACATGCCCTTAGCTGTAACCGCAGGTTAGCGCAGTCGATTGCTGTAATTCAAATGAAAATCGCGCAATTGAATTGCATTTCCAAAAAAAAAAAAAAACAAAAACAAAAAAAATACAATGAAAAAACTTTGATGAGGCTTCACTTTTGGCACTCACTGTGTATATATATGAGTGTGTGTGGGTGCGGGCGCTTTTGTTTGTTTGCGATTAGTTTACACGTTGTGGTATTGGTGTCTAGTTTCCCTTATTTTCTAGTCCAATTTTGAAGTTGTTGCTGTTGTTGTTTTTTGGCTCAGCTATGTGAAGTGCAGTTGGCAAAACAAATCGCTCGAAGCTTCGCCCCGAGTTTAATGAAGTTTAACAACATTTAATGGTGCATTCTTTTTACACGCTTTCGCAAAAGTTCTCTGCGCTTATTTTATTAGAGCGTAAAATCGCATTTTATTTTTTTGGCAAATAGTTGAGCACAACAATCAAATGCTGTTCGATTGCCAAGGAACTTTTCCTTTTGATTATTGCTTACAAAGTTCTTAGTTGAATGGATTTTTTGAATGAATTCTAAAAGGGCAGTGAAGCAAATGCCTAATTATTCATTATAATAAACATTCATTTTAATTAAAAATAATTCGAACTATACTTGACTTACATTTTACGACTGACTTAACTTGTTCTAATATTATATAATTAATATATTTTAAATAAAATAATAAAGTATGAAACAATGTGAATATATTTTAATATAGACATGATCATAATTTTTAAGGTATTTATTTTGTATTACGAGCTATAATCTAAATAAATGCTAAACTAAAATAAATTATATGAAAATGTATATTACTTAAAGTTTTAAGTTTGAATATTTTATTCTTAATTTTTTTAAATAACTTCTTTTGTATTTTTTTTTTTTATAGATAAATTTAAAATTATATGACAAATATGTATTTAACATATTTATATATGTTTTTTTTTAAATATATATTTACAAACATATATCATTTTAAAAGTCTATCAAAATATAAATATACTACGAATAATATAGGTTACTCTAATATACAGAATTATTTTTTATTTACATGTAATTAAAAAGAATAAATATTCTACGAAATCAAATTTCAAATGCAATTTTTAAGCGAATAAAATATGTATTCTGTTAGTGTTAATTTATATTTAAATATATAATAAATTTACTAAGTTATGTTACTATAATGACACAAATATAGTTGTTTTTCTTTTTGGTTAAAAATTCAGTTATAATATTTAACGAAAAGAACTTATATATATTTCAATATATACTTCATCATCCATGGAAAAATCATCTTCAATTTATATTATTTATATGTATATATATATATATATATATATATATATATTTTTTTTTTTTTTTTTTTTTCAACTGTTTTTAACATAAATAAAATCGCCTGGCACCTAATTTGGAATGCAGAA